GTCTCATATGACCCTGATTTGTGAGAGCCTTTGGAATGACCTTTCAAAATGTGAGACTAAGAGAAAATGGGGTACATAGTGCTATCTTCTTAAAAATGACGTTTGAACAATTTCTCACCGAAAAGAATATGCAGTAAATATTATTTTGTCATAAAAAGAATAAAGCTTAGCCGAAGAGATGATTCCAATTACTGAAGCCACAAAAAAGAAACAAAAGTTTGTGTCTGAGTAGAAAACTTGTAGAATAATTACTTGTGCACCTGCCTGGTGTGTGTGTGTGTGTGTGTGTGTGTGTGTGCACGCGTGCGTGTGGAGGGTGATGTGGAGTTATTTTTTCTACACTGTCCACTTTAACTTTCCCTGGGTCAAACCAGATCCCTAGCTTTTCACTCCCTCACCCCCTAATGCTCACTTCATTCTCACGGGGCGAGGAAAACCTTCCCCAGTGGTGGATTCTCCGATGTTACCAGCTCTCGTGTTCTTCCTGAACTTTATTTGAAAATCCCAGCTAGTGTATTCTTCAGCTGTGTAATATTTATTTGGTTTGAGCTTATATATCTCTATTTTCTGATATTTCCTCCTTTTCCCTTTGTTGAAGGAGTGGTTGCAGGCCTCATCCCAGGGATTTCCTGCTGTTGCTTTACAAACCTCTGTGACGTCATTTCAGCGTCTGCCCTGCTAACACTGCAGAGTCCGCCTGTGTGGATTTCATCCCTCATTTCAGTTGTCATTTTTCTGGTTCTTGATAAGACAAGTGACAGTGTTTGTACCCCAGACTGCGGTATTTTATTAGGAGCGTGTGGCTGTTATTTAACCCTCTGTTGCCAGGGGACCCTCCTGCCAGTGACGCCGGGCTGGGGGTGGCGGCTCCCCTTCCCACTGCGAAGCAGAGCGGGGCCCTGACCCTCGCTGCCCCAGGGCTGCCCACCACGCTCGGGAAGGGGAGCAGTGGCTTGCACAGACGCGTCCCCTTCAGACGTGTGGGAGTCAGCCGACCACGGGACTCTGTGCTGCCTACTGACGCCAGGCGGGAGGGGACAGCTGGACGCCAGTGACCCGACTCGCTCCCTCTGTCCAGTGTTCTCGTCACCAGGTGGGTCACAGCTCCACCCTCCTGGCTGTCAGGACCCCACGTCAGGAGTCAGGGTGGGTGCTGGGGTGCTGACTAGCCGTGCCTGGTCCCATGCCATTCTTGTCATTGCCGGGGATGGGGGTGGAGGTTTAGGTCTGCCATGGGCCCTCCTGAGTCGGGCGGGGAGAGAAGGTGACAGCTCCCGCCCGCACTGCCCTGCCCAGCCTGGTTGGTGCTGGCTGGGGTGCAGGGTTGGCCTCACTGACCCCACTGCCTCCACCCAAGTGGGCCTTCAGAGCACGGCCAGCTGCTGCTGCCCAGGGAGATGTTGACAAACGTGTTTTTGAGTCACCACAGCCTGGGAGCTCTGGTACCAGAAAAAAAATAAAATGTCATACAATGAAGCCAGAGCCAGCATTTCTACTGCTTCTAGGGACGGAAATGGGGCTGCTGCCCCCACACTGGGAGCTACAGACGGTCAAGTCAGCACAGACTGGGTCCAGGACCCAGAACCTCAGGCCAGAAAGAGTGAGGGCTGGTCAGTGGACAGGGACACATCCAAGATCCCTGGTCCTTCATCCCCAGCCTGACACCTGGCCCAAGTCCCCGAGCAGTGAATGAGAAGTGGGAGATGCAGAGGCGCCAGGATATGGGAGACCCCACAGCCCTGTGTCCTGAGGACCCTCAGCGGGCTCTGAGCCCCCAAGTCCTACTTACCCCTCTGGAAGTCCAGGGGTAGACTGGGACCCTTCATGGAAACCAGCCACCCCTGGGCTGTCCTAGCCCCACCCTGGGCCTGCCTCTGACCCCTGCCTGGAAAGCTGACCCTGGGAGTGGTCTGTCTGGGCAGGGCTGTTCCGTGGCTCCCCAGGAACCAGTGAGGACACAGCTGCTGGCCCAGTGAGCAGGGGCACAGGGCTCAGACCAGGGCCAGGTGGGGCTCCCAGCTGGGACCCACAGCACAGGCCTCAGGGACAGGCCACAGCGCCCCCTGCTGCCCAGAGGCCCCCCAAACCCATGTGTCCTGTCTGTCCCACTGGGCACTTTGTCTTCCCCAAAGGGCGGAGCTGGGCAGTGTCCCTGCCCAATGCACCTTAGTCTCAGGTCTGCACACAGCCTCCTCCCCTGCCCAGCTTCCCGTGCGGTTACAGGACAGTCCTGGGAGCTCAGGCTCACAGAGGGGCGCCCCTGGGGACACAGAGCAGGAAGCCCAGTGGGGACAGGGAGCACCTCCCTCCAGGGCACCAGGAGCTGCTGCCTCTTCCTCCTCCCAGGCAGAGCAGAGCCTGGTGGCCAGATGGCCAGGAGCTGTCCCTGGTCCCAGCCTCTCCCTCGGGGCCCCCTCTCCCTCACAGCCTCTTGCTGACCCACATTGCAGAATGAGCAGGAGAATCGAAATAATTAACATTTGCCAATCCCAGATGGACACTGCACAGCGGCAAAGATGCTGAGTGTGAGTTTGGGGGAGAGGAGGCAGCTGAGCCCTTTGGCGGGAGCCTCCCGGGTCCTCAAATCCTTGTCCCTCCTCACTGGGCACTGAGCGGGGATCAGCACCTTGTAAGTGGGGACCGGCATCCTCCAATCCCACCCTGGGCACGTGGAGCAAATGCTCCTGCCACCTCAGAGACAGCCCTGCAGAGTGTGGGGACAGTCTTGGGACGGGGGCCCTGGCTGTGCAGGCCCCTCAGGGCACCCTGATTTCTCTACTGGCCTGAGCCTCTGGGAGCAGAGGGAGGGAGCAGGGGAAGGGAGGAGCGCAGGCATGGGGAGCACCTCTGAGCTCTGCTCCCCAAGGCCCCTAGTGGAGCCCCAAGGCCCACCTCTCCTCGCCCAGCCACACGCCGGCGAAGATGGGTCTTCCCGTCTGTGGTGCTCCTCGGGGCTGGGCAAGCCCCGCTCAGGCAGGGTGTGACCCGCTCCTGGGAGCTGCGCTGGGAGAGAGATCACTGGGAAGGCTGTGGCCTGCTCGCCTCAGAGGCTCTGGGTGGGACAGCAGGTGGGGCAGGGAGCCATGGACAGAGCACACGGACCATGGATGTCATGTGATCTTCTCCAGGGACACTCAGGGACAGGCCAGGCCCACTTCAGCTCTAGGGCCCAGGTCTCTTCTTTTGCATGGCTTTAGGCCCCATGTGTCCTCCCTCTTAGGGTCACAAAGGACAATGTCCTCTTCATTGTGCACCCCTGTTACCACGGGGGCCCCACGCCTGTCCTCCGATCCCCCCCCCCCCCCCCCCCCCCCCCCCCCCCCCGCATCCAGCCCCTGCTCTCTGCAGTTTGCTTTCCTGCACGATCCTGGGTCTCGGCCTCCCTGAGGACGTCTCTGCAGGAAACTCAACTGCAGAGAGCTCAGCCCTGCACAGGACAGTGGGCCTGGGCCGCCAAGGCTGAGCCTCACGCTGGCTTCCCTTCTCCACCCGCCTGGCCACGCCAGAGCCTCTCGAACGCTGAGCTGCGTGTCCCTAAGTGTCTGACTTCACTGTCACACCAGTTCCTGAGGGGATGTGGAGATGGCGATTTCCCCTGCAGACACCATTGGAAGTGCTTCTAATATTCCCAAACGGAAACCCCTACCTATTAGACAATTGCTCCTCCCACCCCACAGCCCCTGGTCCCCCACGGAGCATGGAGGGACCGGGGACCTGGACGAGGCAGAACATCCCAGGTCCCAGAGACAGCACCATGCAGGAAGGAGCAGGGAAGAGAGCAGCTCCCCTGGTGGCTCTTGGCAGGTACCAGGTGACAGCTTTCTGTGGGCCGTGCTTTTATTGCTCTAGTCCCCAAGGAACTGAGGTGCATCCAGCACCATCCCAACCAAACACCCAGAGAGGGGAAGAATTCCATTCAGGGGACTAAAGTAGGGAAGGGACGCAGTGCTGGGCATTGCCATCCCCCATGATTCCCCACCCACATGTGGGCGCTCTTATCACCTCTGGAGTTAGGTGCTCTGGGCACACTGGGAAGCCAGTGAGAGGAGCGTTATCTCATTGACCCCATGACAAGGAGCCAGGTGACGGGCATCAGGCCTTCTGTGAGCACAAGCCAAAGCAGAAGCCACAGCCTGAGCACGTTAGGGTCGCATGCAGGGACAGGGAAGGGATGGGTTTGAGTGTGGGCCACGGAGGCCACATTGTTTACTACCTCACCCTGGCATGGGAGCTCCTGGTGGCACCGGGCTGGATTCAGCTGTGACAACAGTGACACCTGAGCATCAGCCTGGAGCCCGCAGGTGTCAGGGAGGCCGAGTTGACAAAGAAGACTCAGGCTAGAACTCCAAACACCCCTCACTCTTGTCCCAGTCACGACCTCAGGCTTTCTTTCTCAGACCCTTGGAAGCAGCCCCCATAGTCACCCCCATGTGTGTGCAGCCGCCTGTACAACAGATGTGACCTTGAGACTTGGGCCCATCCCGAGCTCCACGGGTAGAGTGACGCATGCGCAGGTTGGGTGGTTTCCGGTCCCTTATGTCCCACAGACCTCACTTCCTGGGCTGCTGTTGACAAGCCCAGTGGGGCAGGAGAGGAGAGGACACAAGTCAGTGCCTGTGGGCTCAGGGACACCCACCAGTGGGTCCCCGTATTCCCGAGTGGGATCAGCTGGGAAAGTCAGGTTCCTGGGACTTACTGCCTCCGACGGCCCTGGAGCGGCTCAGCCTCTGGCAGCAGTGGAGGGCTGCCCTCCCCTCCCTTCCCCCCGGGAGCTCTGCTGGCCTCAGGCCACAGCCGCCCGCGCCCAGCCCTCCGTGCTGACAGGTGACTGAGGCTGCAGGCACACAGAGTGGGCCCGGCCAGCCCTGTGCCTGGACCCAGCCCTGACCCGTGTCCTCAGGCAGCATGTCCCACGGCACCGCCTGGTTCCCGGGCTGGAGGGGGCCCGGGCAGCCCCTGCACAGATGGCTGGGAGGGGAGGGGGGTGTCTGCTGTGACAACTGGAAGAACACAGTCCAAGCTGCAGGACCGTCACCTGCTGGGAGTGTCCCTGGGCACAAACCAAGATGTGAGCAGGACAGGCTCGTTTTCCATCTTCAAGAAAACAAACAAACAAACAAACAAAACAACAACACAGGGGCGCAGGTTTTAGCATATTTGGATGAACAGGATACAATTCAGTGTCATCAGGGTTTTGTTTGTTGTTGTTGTTGTTGTTTGTTTTTTAATAATTTTAGTTTTCCTGAGACTTCAGATACACTGAATCCAAAGATGAGACTAGAAATATTTGAAAGCAGAGGTGCTTCCAAGTATGTTCTCTGTACATTGAACCCATTTTTAAATTTCAATATTGTCACAGAGGAAGAAAGTGAGCAGGCTGAGGTTTTTGTCCCACTTCCCCATCTGCTTGTGTCACTGTGATTAACACCACTGTCCCAGGTCTGACAGTGATAGTCAGCCTCGTCCTCAGGCTGGACGTTGGAGATGGTTAAGTAGCGGTCAGCCCCGGAGCTGGAGCCCGAGAAGCGATCGGGGACCCCGTCCCCCTTGCTCTGGCTTCCATCACTGTAAACATACATCAAGTACCGGGGGGACTTCTCTGGGTGCTGCTGATGCCACGTAATGCCATAGTTGCTGTACCCACTGCTCAGGGTGCAGGTGAGCTTGGCCGAGGCTCCCGGGGAGGCAGATGCAGAGGGCGGCTGGGTCAGCACAGGCTGGGACAGGGACCCTGCAAACACAGACACACAGTATGTACTGGAGGAAGGACAGGAGGGAGGGACAGTGAGGCATGGGTTTGGGAGGGGGTGTTAGTGAGCTGGGGTCAGGGTGCTGGGGACCGTCCAGACCTGTGCAGTGAAGGAGGAGGGTGAGGAGGAGGAGTGGGGCGCAGGCCATGGTGCAGACACCCAGAGCTCTGCCGAGGCTGCCACGCTGCAGGTGTCTCTTATCCACCCTCCAGCCCAGAGGAGGGACAGGGCCCTGCATGCAAATGTGCTGCTCCTCCCCTGCCACCAATCCCGCCCTGGGCCTGTGTGCAGCCCCAGTGGCTGGGTGTCAGTTCTGAGAGGGGCGGCTTTGGCTTCACCTGACTTGAGGCTCCCCAGGGGCCCAGTGACCCTGAGCAGAGCCCATGCTCAAGTGTCTCATTTCCCAGCTGAGCCCCACAGCCCTGCCATGGCAGGCCCACAGCGCCCCCTGCTGCCCAGGCCGAGGCCCATGGTGCAGATGACCAGATGCCAGGGGGACCTGACAGAGGCTCCTGTCCCCACCAGGGCCTTGACCACTGCCCACTCCCTGCTCAGGGACAAATTGAGGCCCCTCCTCTAGTCAGCTGCTACCTTGTCTCAGTCCTTCGTTTGCTCTTTCTGCCTTATCAGTGGGAACAGGACACACCTCTCACTTCACTTTAAAAGACGAAGGGGTGACCCCAATGCAAACTGTCCCTGAACCCACTTCCCAGGCTGCTCCTGAAGCAGGTGTCTCTTCCCCCGGGATTCCTCAGGAGGTCACACACAGGACAGAGTGGGAGTGTCTGGAGGACACGTGAGCAGGTTGGTGACTCTCTGGGTTCCCTGGGGATGAGGACAGACCAGGGAGGAGAAGGGGAAGGTCCTGGAGTGAAGAGAAAAGGGCATCAGCTCACTGGGGGCTTCTTCTGAAGAGCAGGGTCAGAGAAGCTGAGGGAAAATAGAGGTGTGAGTGAATATGCCCAAGAAAAGATATTGTAAAAGTCCTGTGCATTTGTTATAAAAGAAATGTTTTAGTAATTAGTTGAGGAGCTCATAGGACAGGAGAGAAGTGGAAGGAAGGAGAGAGGCCTGAGGGACGAGAAGGGAGGTCGTGACTCAGAGACGGGAAGGGGAGGGTGAGGACGGTCCACGCTGTGGAAGGGACTGGAGGAGAAGCCATTGGGGACACTGGGCAGGAGCTGGGGTGGTTGGGTCGAGGGAGGTTTGGGGCGTGTTGTTTTCATTTCTGTTTTGTTTCCTGAGGAAGGTGGCGCCTCCCCCGGCTCCTGAGCTGCCCTCTCTGGTCACCTCCCTGCCTGGACTCGGGACCCTTCTTTCATCAAAGCCCTTTAGTTCTCTCTGTGACAGGTTCTCCTTAGTTTCTATTTGCCAGTGGCTTTTCTTCTTCTTTGTCACCATCCTTACACACTTGGTGATACTGAAGCATGCGTGCTGGTGATGGGTGGGTCCCCGAGAGAGCCCGGGCAGCTGTGCCCCCAAGGAGGGAAACTGAGAGCCAGGCGGGCATCCAGGACTGTCTGTTGTTTCTGTCATTTATTAACATCCTGGGGACAAGGCCAGACTTCTGTGGGATCCCGTGTCAAGAGTGACCACTGGTGACGGCCCCAGCATTGGAGCCACAGGAAAGAGTGACTGTCCCTCCGGGAGACACTATGGGAGGCCCCTGAGCCACCACAGACTAAGGACAGAATCTGGAACCCGAATCAGACACGAGTTAGGACTGGGAAGGAGGACGGGGACCCTCCAAAGGTCTCTGAAGTCCCTTTGCACCTGGGCAGACAGTGAGGAGGGACAGGAGTGCAGGCCATGGTGTGGCCTTGCCAAAGACCCTCTGGACCCACAGCTGTTCCTGGTCTCTGGGATGGTTCCGTGTCTCCTCCTCAGCTCCCTGGGAGAAGGGTGTGTTTGCGTCACGCTTCCTGCAAACATGGGCCCGTCACCAGCACCACCAGCACCCTGTGAGTCTGTGTCTTTGGCCCAGGGGACAGCACTGTTGTCAGGATGGTTGGGGTGGGGTCAGCTCTGAATTTGCCCATTGGGAGGAAACACCTGCTGTCACCTCTAACTCAGTCCGGTGAACACAGGCCCAGGGACCATGACATTTGAACCATTTGAGATTGTCACAGGCCTGGCTCAGCTCATAGAAGACCCACCGCGCCCCCTGCTGGGCCGTGATAACGATGGCTTGTACTTTCTCTAGTTGTGTTAAATGTCTTGTCCAAGGCCGAAATTCAGTTTCATTGTCACCTGTACTTGAGCTTCCCCAAAGAGATTTTGTTTTTAAATTTAATTAAAAATTTTTGGTGTTATAATTTATATTTACTTTGTTTTATGACTTGTAAATTTTTCCGAGTTTTAATTTTTTCTCATTTATTTCAAGATTATCAGAAATAGCTCATCAAAGGAATTGTTTGGTTGCTGACTTAAGGATGTGAGCCATATAATTTCATCACCAAGATAATCTCAGTATCTGTGTCTGTGGATTGTCTTTTTAAAACTCAAGTTGTTATTTTTCTGGTTCTTGATATGTCAAGTGATTTTTAAAAATTTTATCTAAGACATTTTGGATATTATATTATGATAATCTGAAAAGGAGTTGTCCATAAATCCGTAACAGTGCCTGCTTTTGGTTGATTGGTTTTCTGTATTAATTTTCCTTTTGCCATTCTAAGGAGAAATGGGACACATTCCCTTGGTAAGCATTTAGTTTCTTTGCCATCAGTCAAACCATCCTGGAAATGGGTCCCCTGCAGTCTGCTTTCCACCTGCTGAAATGGTCCTGCAGCCTCACGTCTCTCTCATCCAGTATCACAATCTTTCTCTTTGAAGTTGCCCAAATGGGTCCCAGTGCTGCTTATGACTTCAGGAAGGGGAAATGCACTCTTGACCTGAAGTGACATCTGTCATCAAACCAGCTCCCCACACCCTTAGTGACCTGCATCCTGCATTTTTATCTGGAAACTTCAGGGCTGAAGGATGAGCTACATGTGTTCTCAACATCCTGCCCTGATGATCGAATTTTTCCCAAAGCTAACCCCAACCCTGAGATAGTTTTCTTGCCTGCACAGGTGAAATGTCACCACGTCTTCTTTGTGGGTGACTACCGCGTCCTCCTCCCTCCAGCGGTGAGCCCCCTGGGAAACCTCAGAGCCGTGGCTGGGAGTGTGAAGGGACAGGGGCTTCCCGCTGGCACAGTCTGTAAACTGTGTGCAGTAGCTGCAGTGGGGGACCAGGGCTGCGGGGGTGACACACAGAGTGGCTCTGCCAGGCTGGGCTGCCGACCCTCTTTCGCTCTAAGTAACCGCCAATGTCCAGGGAGAGCTTCAGCGGAGCTGCCCGCTCAGAGGAGAAACAGCGTCATTGTTACAGGAAGACGCTCCTCCCAACACCACACGCAGCAACGCAGCACACCATGCGCCTCATAACCAGATATATGTATATATATATATATGTATATATATATATATACTATGTTTGAATGATTTGTTGTTAACATAACGGAATATGTAGAAACTCTTCATCTCTAAACTCCCCTGTGGGGCAGAAGGAGCAGGACACGTTTGTGTCCTTGCTGTAAGGAACTCTATTTTCATCCCATCCATCCATTTAGTGCAATTACTGATCTTGTGTTTGTGTATAATTTATCTTTCTTAATCTGGGCTTCCTTGCTTAATTCCTGCTTTCTCACCTTTTATTTTTCATGAATTAAGCATTTCCACTGAATGATTTCACACTCACTAGGTATTTACTTTTACATCCTACAGTTTCAGTAGTGACCCTAGATATTGCAACCCTGTCTACTTAGAGTCCACTAATTTAATATTTTGTCGAATTTCCCTACAATGGAGAATATTTAAAAAGTTTACACAATCCCTGTCTTTGTCATAATCACTATTGCTAGGTGTTGGACAGGTCCCCATGTATTAACTATGAAAACTATGGGAACTGTCGCTGTTGCTGGCAGTGGTGGTGATTCTGGCTTCACTGTAACTGTGTGTTCCACACATTCCCTCCCCTGCGCTGTGAGCCTGCAGACTTTCCAGCGAGCCTCTGGTGGGTTTTTCATCCCTTCAACACCACAAAAATGTAGACATTCCCTCCATCTGGATTCCAGAGGTTTGTGTCCTCTCTTTTGCCCCTGCCACATGTGGGCTGGAATTCACCAACTGTTTCCACAAGGACCTTGTGGTGACTTAAAAGCGTCATTGTCCACTTTGTTTTTACACCTATAGGGACTTGCATTACAATCAAATGTCTTTTAGTTTCCTTGGGCATCATCTAGTGGCTTTTCTTTGATTAGTCTGTTCTAAAATCTGCACCTTCTTCCTGCCTGATATTTTGTGGGGTCCCAGTCATCCATTCGAGGGAATGTTCCTGCCCAATATGAGGACGATCACGGGAACCTGCAGACATCAGGGAGCTGCCTTAGGTACAGCCAAGAGCAGTGACATGTGTCACTTGCCTCTTTGACTTCACAAAACTCAACACCTTTTCCCTGGACCACATGGTGACCACTCTCACTCCTAACCACGTGCCCGTCCTGAGTCATGGACACAGACACACAGCAAGGACACGTGCCCAGACATCTGAGATGGCCAAAGTCATTTCCCATCTGACCTGCCTGTCTATGGGACAATGACGAGACTGGGGTGTTTTATTTTAATAGCTTAGTATTAGCATTGGGTGGATAGATGTTTCTAGATCCAGGGATTCCTCTCAGAATCTTAGTCTTGGAGTGAGGAATGACTGTAGGAATGTTCCCTGAGTCTGGTGTTGGCCATAAAATGACAGAGTGGGTTCATGGGTCAGGATGGGGATCAGAGAGGAGACGTGTGTCTCATTTTCCTGTGGAGCAGGTGCCCAGGGTTAGCACGGGGCTCCTTCCACATGCTGAACCGTCATCAGCACCTTCATCCTCAGACAGAAGCCCAGAGTATTGCAGGAGTCCACGTGGCCATGCATGAAGCAAGACATGCAACATGGGACCCTGCAGGTTGAGAACCACCAGGTATCCGCATTTGTGGTTTCTCTCGGGACCTGGTGGGACCAGACCACACTGTTCACCCCACACTGCTGACCCCAGTGCAGGGGGAGGTGACATTTCTCCCAGAGGACGGGCAGTGAGTGCGCACAGCCTGTGTGCAGGACCCTGGAAGGACACATGGGGCACATCACTGCTGGCACTGAGAAGACACAGCCACCTGTG